TGAGAGGAAAGGTGTGTTTTGTGCGGTCCGTGCCAAGGTGTTATAAGCGGGACAAGTTAGGAGTGGCAGTGAGTTCGAGGACCGCTGCCGTTCAGTCGTTGTGAGCTGTTGCTGCGAGAAGCTGGTAGCTGAGGCCTGGGACAGTTCGGGAACCCAGAGGAAGGGGAACGTCCACGGATGGAAGCCGCTGCTAGTGAGAATTCTAACACACTGGGAAAACGTAGTGTGCCCTATAGTGATTTGTGAAATGGAGTAACGAGTTATGCAATAAATCCGGTAATCACTCCAGAACCCGTCTATGGTCACATTCCATAAAATTATAACAATACAGGTAACCTGTCCTACGTGGGTACTGTATGCGGGCAGGGACTACCTCTATCTTTTGAGCCCAACTGAGTTGGTTTCACCTGAAGATGGAGACAGAATCCAGTCTCCGAAACGTTATGTTTTGCGCAAGAAACAGGACGATGGATAAGTCCAAAAACTCAATAATTGTATTAATATGCCATAGTAACAGACTTCTGGATCTTATTTTAAAATTATATTGACAAGGTACTGTCTCGTTAAAACAAAACTTCGTGACATTCACGCCTTACGCGAAATGAATTATTACAGTAAGGTGTGGTAATTTAAAGAACCATACTTCAGTGTGTAGAGCTGTTACTACGTGACGGACGCGAGATGGGAAAATATACCAGGCCCACTTATGGGCAACTGCTCGGTAAACACGTTTCCGTTGCTAGGTCGCAGGTTCTTAATAATACAACAGTTGGACTACAACAGTGGAAGAGCTGTGTTTTCTATATGGTCCGTGCTGAGTGTAAGCAAGGGACAAGGTTAGACCCGGTTCAGTCCTGTACAGGAGTCTGTGAAGAGAGAACTTGAGCCGGAGGCAGAGGAATAACCATGGTTATAGCCGTTACTAGGAAACATCTAGCAAGAGACTGAGAACACTAGACTGTGTGCTCTAGTGAACTGTAAAATGTGGAAATAGTAATAGTGTTATTGTAGTTATTTGTAGTTACAACATGTAAGTAGTCAATAAATCTATTCACCAATCCAAAGCACGTCTATAGTCACACACATACTACATGACAAACATATGTGTTGATGGCCCCGTATTGTCGAATCATATGAAATATAAAACAAGTGATGTTTAACCAATAATATATGAAGTGACGCATTTACTGTACACTATTACATTACATATCAAATGTAGTTTGTAGATTTGAAATAGAACGGGCTTANGTAAGCAAGGGACAAGGTTAGACCCGGTTCAGTCCTGTACAGGAGTATGTGAAGAGAGAACTTGAGCCGGAGGCAGAGGAATAGCCATTGTTATAGCCGTTACTAGGAAACGTTTAGTAAGAGATTGAGAACACTAGACTGTGTGCTCTAGTGAACTGTAAAATGTGGAAATGGCAATAGTGTTATTGTAGTTATTTGTAGTTACAACATGTAAGTAGTCAATAAATCTATTCACCAATCCAAAGCACGTCTATAGTCACACACATACTACATGACAAACATATGTGTTGATGGCCCCGTATTGTCGAATCATATGAAATATAAAATAAGTGATGTTTAACCAATAATATATGAAGTGACGCATTTACAGTGCACTATTACATATACATATCAAATGTAGTTTGTACATTTGAAATAGACCGGGCTTCTGTAACGGTAATGCTTAAGTCACGTGTTCATGAGATGCTCGGTTCACTCTCAGCCACGTTTACTGCACTTCTCCTCAAATATTCCACGACCGCTTCTTTCCAAATTATTTTCAGTTTATCTTTCGTCTCTCACTCTACCACCCGGTGCTATATTGACTCATGTGCCATTTACTAGGCAACGGCTCGGTAAACACATTCCATAAGTTACACTCTCAACAATAGGACATCCATTTCTATGTAACGAACCNATATGTGTTGATGGCCCCGTATTGTCGAATCATATGAAATATAAAATAAGTGATGTTTAACCAATAATATATGAAGTGACGCATTTACAGTGCACTATTACATATACATATCAAATGTAGTTTGTACATTTGAAATAGACCGGGCTTCTGTAACGGTAATGCTTAAGTCACGTGTTCCTGAGTTGCTCGGTTCACTCTCAGCCACGTTTACTGAAGTTCTCCTCAAATATGCCACGACCGATTCTTTCCAAATTATTTTCAGTTTATCTTTCGTCTGTCACTCTACCACCCAGTGCTATATTGACTCATATGCCATTTACTAGGCAACGGCTCGGTAAACACATTCCAGAGTTACACTCTCAAAAATAGGACATCCATTTCTATGTAACGAACCAATAAACACCCATTCTCGAGAACAGGAGACGGTGTTTTCCGTGCGATCCGTGCCGAGAAATTATAAGAGGGCGCAGTCAGCAGAATTGAAGTAGTACAACGGAGTACAACGGAGTTGGCAGTTGAAAGTCAGCCTGTGAAGAGATGACAGTCGTGGTCAAGTCGGAATGGAGTGAATCTTAGGCTGCCATTTATTGTAAGTTATTGTAATTGAGTGTATTTAAGAGAGGTCGTAAAAGAAGGTGTCAGTAAATCGAAACCCCGTTATTATTAGTCACGGATCCATAAACTCGTGACAGTACAATCTAGCTACGAGAGCGTCACATAACAACGTCCTCTCCAAAAGCAGATTTGAAGACAGTACACTGAGGGCAGGATATTTTATGTGCTTACACAACTGTGACTGACTTCACAGAGTGAGCAATAATCATTCAATGTAATTTGTATTTATTTGCGTGCTGAGCGGGACAGCCAGTGGCGCATTACAGAGTTAACACGAATACAAAACTAGGGCAATAAACATACAAAAAGAAAAAAGAAACAAACAAACGATTAAATAAGGTTGTTTATATTCAAACGTGTTTTTTTTAATATCTGTAGATTTACGAACGGCATTAGAAACAGAAACACATCCAGATGAAGGGCAGCGGTTGGAGGAGCAGTTATAAAATCACGTTAAACTTCAACTGTTTCGAGGCCATAGGGGCAGCATTTAGCGTGACAGACACATTTATTAAATACAGTCGTTGAAGTGATTGTTTGTGTGTGTTATTCGTGGGGAAGGGGTTAGAAGTCAGCTTCAGCGTAAGAAGCGATAACATGTGTAGCTGAAAATACGCATGAAAGACAGCAGACGAAGTTCAGAGTACCAAGCTGATGAATGAAAGTATGAGGTAAAAGGTAAAACTATCCCTGTAACAGGCCGTGAAGGCCCATAGGGTTGTGAGACGTCGAGGCTCCCATTTCTTCTTTAGACAATCGGCTCACAGATGGCAGTGAGGTTGGTATCCATTTCTGTTAGAGGCTGAGTCGACCCCAGGGCCATAGTGCAGCAAGAAGGATTAAGTGGGGATTCCCACAATTCCCTGAAGGACATCCACCTCTCTCACTGCCGTATATCAGTTCATTCCGTAACTACTAATCCTGGAGCCAGAATCAAGACATCCGATTAAGCTTTAAGCTTCTATAGAACACTGAACTCAGAAAGACTGTGAAGACTGAAGTCATTAAACAATTAGGCCACAAGTTTGGCTCAATTTTGACTTTCGCTCAACTTGTCTGGCGTAGCGGTAAGGTTTCAGACTTGTATTCATGAGGTGCTCTGCTCGAATACCTACCGGAACATTGAGAGTTCTCTTGGTTTTCCTCAGTCTCCAAGATAGCTCAGTCGGTATAGAGACGGGCATCGGGCTGGACGGGCGGGTTTCGATTCCCAGCAGGGACAAGTGATTTTCCTCTGCTCCACAGCGTCCAGCTGGTTTCTGGGACCCATTCAGCCTCATAACCAATAGCTATAAGGGGTGGTAAAACTGCCAGAGCGTGAAACCGACATGTCATCCCATCTAATGCCAAACTCAAGAATGATGGAGCTGTACCTCTTATTCCCCATACGTCTTAATGGCATAGTGCTTAATTAATTAATTAAACACAGAGTCAACTTTACCTTATGAAAATTCCCATTGAATTCTCGACTGCTGTTACGCATACAAAAATATTTCTCTAAGAACTTATGTGGGAGTCTATTTGGCTCTATGGGCCCAAATTCATTTACTTGCATACTATTGGAGTTTTGAGGTTCTCATAGGGGGACTACGAGGACCACTGTCTTCTCAGATGTGACGCTGTATATTTATT